ATAGTATTGCCAGGCTTCAGCTAGCCCCCTTCCTTTACCTCAGCACCTCCTACCTCCCAGCAAAGCTTGCCAGGGCTGAGCCAAGCCCAGAAGTCTGCTCTGAAGGCCACTAAGCTCACTCCCTCCTTGGCCAGCAGGCACTGTCAGACCTGCCCATAGGAGACCTCCGCAGGGCTTTCTTGGAGTGAAACAGAGACAACTATGCCAAGCGAAGGCAGGGAAACCCAGCTGCCAAGTGCTTGAGGAAAGCCTGGCTGTTTCTGTGGCAGCCGATGCCAGGAGCACCAGAGAGAGCAGAGACCCCCAGTGGGAATGCCAAGGGTCTCAGGAGATTTGTCATGTTAGGTGGCTGACACTCAGGTATTTCCCCTGCACCAAACAGAGTCTGATGCCTCAAAGATGAGGCAGTGAACACTGATGAGTGTCACTCTGGGCCAGTCCTGGAGTTGAAGGCACAGCCAAGGGCTTTCTGCCCAGTGTAACTGGCATGCCCCTTCTTGGCACCCAGACGAAGGCGAGAACTGGCTCCTCTGTAGCTGAACAAGGGTTAATATGCCTGGTACCCTATATTCCCCCAGCCTGGATTGAGGACAGGGCAGGTAGTGTCCATTTCAAAGACATTAACTCACCAGGACCAGAATGAGGGAAACCAGGTACTGCTTTCTCAGGCTGCCTGAAGAGAGGAAGAAGGTGCTTCTCCAGGCCACCTTTACCTGCAGCAGCTTCTCCTCTCTCCTCTCTCTCCCTCTCTCTCTTTCTCTCAGCCTCTCTTGGCAAAATGGCTGAATACTTCAGAGCTATCAACAGAGAAACCTAAGAGGAAAGGCCTTTCTTCCAGGGCATTCTGCCTCTGCAATCTGCAGGAAAAGGAGCACCCACACTCCTCCTGGACGGGAGTGGACTGAGAATCGTTCTCTAGCATTTTAACAATCCTTGGACTTCCATGAAGTTACTCTCAGATCACACTTAAATCCCTTCAGTTGTAACCTGTCAGAATGGGAAAGCAGAGAAGAACCAGAGAAGATAGACTGTCTGGATCTCAACACCCTGCCTAGCACACCTGTAATCCAGTCACACCCCGAACAGCATCCCCCTCAGGACAGGTACTGGGCCTTGGGTGTCTTTGTTCCAGAGCACTCCAGCCTCTCTTTGTAAGAATTCTCATGGCTGCCCAGCACTTCTTTCAATGATGGATAAACCACTGGACTGGGAAGCAACTTGAAGAATTCTTGTAGAAGCAGAAGTAATAAAGCAAACGGACACCTAGACCAGTCCACAGGCTTGCAGGCCCCAAGACCCCACTCACTATTCACTGGGAAATGCTATGCAGAACTGGATGCCACACGGGTCTGGTGGGGGTGGGTGGGGGGAGGCTAAGGGATACACTCCAGAAACACAGTCCAACCCTCCTCTGCCTGATGGCCTACCCTGGACTTTTTCCCTTGGGAATTGGACAGCTCCTCACACTGAACTTCCATAACTCAGGAAGGTGCCTGGTACATTCCTAGCCCACAGTTCCAGGTGTCAGACCCCAATTGAGTCTGGATGGGGAGTAGGGGTGTCCCAACCTTGGCAATAAAGGGCAGCCTGGTCCAGCTCTGCCTATGTCTCTCCACTCTAGAAGAGGGTGGACAATCTACACAGCAGTGCCTACCCTGCAGCCTAGGTAGCAAGAGCAGGAGGACCATAGTGACTAGGGCCTGCCTTTGTCCAGAAGAATGGCCAGGAGACTCCACCCCTTCCCCTATCTTGATGGATGCCACTACCTAGCCCAAAGCTGGCTGCCCCAAGGTCCTCACCCCCCCAGCAGAAACCAGAATGCCCATGGTCTGTGCAGAACCTCAAGCCATTCCTGAGGCCAGTTCCCTCTGGCTTGATCCTCAGTGTCTAGAAGCCAAGCCACAGCCCAGAGGGCAGGCGAGGCTCTTCAGCACCTGGACAGGCCCTTCAGGGTTGGGTTCCAATAGGGTCTTTCCTCCACTCCTCCCATTTCTGAACCGGACTGAGGTCTGAGGGATACAGTGGCAAACAGAGAAAAGCACTCATCAGGAATAGCGAGGGCACTGGGTGGAGCAGGACTGCCCTGGAGTGTCACGCCGCCCATGCCCAGGTCCTGACCTGCGGCCCCCTTCCCCACGCAGGGCTTTCCCACCTCCGCAATCCCACGCGATGTCGCGGCTCGACTGTACCGGGCGGATTCTCCCCTCACATGGAACCCAGACCGAGCCGGCAGCCCCTCCCCACCGTCCTCGCAGCCCGAACGGCGGAGGGGCAGTGTCCCCCTACCCCAATATAGAAGGGCCTGGGCCACGTGGGGGGCCGCCCGTCGGGGAAGGAGGGGAGCCGACCGGGGCCGCTCCCATCACCCTCTCCTGGTCAACAAGCACAAAAGCCGAGGCAGCAAACAAAGAAGCGCTGCAAAGTCGCTGGGGAGGCGGGACGGCCGGCGCCGCGCCCCCTCCCCACGCGGGGTCCCTGCGGCCCCCCGACGGCGCTCCTACCTGGCCCGCGCGGACCTCCTTCTCCAGCTCGCGGTGGCGGTTGTGCCACACGAGGTAGTGCAGCGGGTATTTGCCCTCGGGCCCCTTCCTGGCGGAGGCGTTGGCGGGGATCATCGCCCGCTCCTCATGCCGGGGCCTCGGCGCCCGGCCCGGGAGGAGGGACGGCGCCAGA